GCACACACCAGCACGTGTTCACTGTAGATGATCCGGCCCACTTTCGTAGCCAATGATCATCTTCCTCTTTCTCCCTCACACACCAGCATACGAACATGCGATCACTTTCACACGCGCGGCGCACGATCAGTATCAGATCCATAACGCATGACAAACGCACGAGCAAGTCACGATGCAACAATACACGATGAGTTCGACAACACACGCCACGCCAAACACGCAAGTCGATGCAGTGACAAACCAGGAAAAGCATCGCGGCAACGTTAAAGCAGTGGGCGGGAACACAAAAAATCGGCTGTCAGACAAAACACCTTGAAAACATGAACTCGCTGCAGCCTCGAACGCGCTCCCTTCCAGGCGGCCCAAAAAAAAAACCAACAACACAGCCTACAGCCTCGAACCCACGACCCGGCCCAGACCCGACAATAAAACACCCGACCGAAAAAAAACGTCTGTCCCATCCAACCGCCGTGCGGGACTCCTTTTCCCTGGGGCCAGGGGAAGCATCTTCCGAGGACCGCTTTTCCCTTTAAGTATTAGTAGGAAAAAAAACACAGAGAGATGAACAACTAAGAACTTGGTAGAATAGTTAAAAAAAAAAGAAAAGAAAAAAGAAAAGAAAAAGAAATACTCTGAAATTCTGAATAGATCTGACAGATTCTGACCCCTCTTGAAAAAAATAAAAAATAAAAATTAACAATAGTAAAACAGTGATCCACAAAAGGTTAAATTGCCAAAAGGATCAACTGGTAATTGATTGAAAACAGACTAGGACTGTTTCATTGGAATAGCTAAATTTTGGACTAAGTGTTTATGCAGTAGGAACTGGAACTCAGTAGAGCCGAGTTCTGCAGACCACGGTCTGTAAGCTAAGCTGGCTGATGCTGTCAGTTCCACCGGGTCGAATTGTGAGGTCCCCGGCCTCGTCTTGAATTAAGTAATGGAAGTATGAAGCAGTTTGATAATAATAATAATAATAAAAAAAAAAAAAAAAAAGGTTAAAAAAACTCATCGAAGTCCTTCTGGGACATCCGTTTAAATTGCAACAATACACAGAAGATTAGCATGACACGTGCACAGGGATGACACGCATAATCCGAGAATGGAAAAAAAGAAAAAAGTTAAAAAAAACAAAAAAACAGGTCCTTATGGTCCTGTGGACTCCTGGCTCCATTTCCATTCTCGGGAGCGTCAGTCTGGTTCCTTTCCACCAGCAAGTCGACTATTGAAATACATGGTAAGGTAAACACTCTCACGCTTCCTCCCGTCTGGCCGAAGGAACCCCCTGACCAACATTGTTTTTTTTGCTCCTTTTTTAGGACGATTGACTGTCAGCTTGCCCTACCCTGTCAGTTTTCCTCTCAGACCTCCTTCTGGGTCTCCCGATTTCGGATTTTCTTGTTTCTATGACTCAAAGAAACAAGAAAATCCGAAATCGGGAGAGATATCTATCCCCCTGAGACTACAGTACAGTCTCAATTTTGTTGTCGTCATCCCCCCCCTCCTTTGCATCGACCTTCGGTTCCCACCATCTTGAGCAGCAGGATCCATGTTTCTTTCCTTGTCAGCTCTGAACGCTCGATTGTTTTTTTTTTTTTTTGGAACGAACGCTCGATTGTAGGACCATGTGCACCTCCTTTTCCCGATGACCCCCCGCAGGGCCAGCATCCTGACCATGTGTAGAACCGGCGAGCTGCTGCCATATTTGAGCTTTGAAGAGAGAGGGCCCTTAGGGACCGTCTGTCTGAGAGCCTCCCAGTCCCTTCGTGTGTTGTTCCTAATTTGGAAACCTCCCATCCTCTCTCTGTCATTCTGTCACATCTAGCGTGACTGCTGCTGAAGACTTACCCAGCGCCGCGCGGTAATGGGAACTGCCTTACGCCCATATTGGAGTTGGTGCCAAAAAAAAAAAAAACACAGAAAACCAATCTCACAGCCTGGTGCAAATTTCAAATACCATCTGTAATGAGACTATCATGCCCCCCCCCCCCCAAACCCACCTTTTCTGAATTTTAGCCTATCTCGTGGGGTTCTTCATCGAATAGGCTAGTAATTGATCATGATCCTACGTTCAGACAAAACCGGGTTAGAGTCTTGGTATCTCAAAGTTTTTCTGTATCTGTTCTCAAACATGTTTCATGTTTCGAATGGGACGCTGGGCCCGTTCCCAGCACGTGCAGCTCCCCACGAATAGATTGGAGCATTGTTCCCCCCAAAAAAAAAAAAGAAAAAAAAAAAAGAAAAAGAGACTATCATGGACCCAAAGAATCGCTCAAAAGTCCTTGTTCGATACGTATCACCTTTATCTCACCTAACAAATTAATCAAATTTGTTTTTTTTTCTTTCACAGTCAAATGAACATGCTTCTTGCATGAAATGCATAGCACCCACAACCCTCTGGATATCCAGCCTCCGGCGATGACGTCAAAGCATTGACTGCCTGGCCATTGGTGTGCAAAATCCCTACATTGACTTGTTGAGTTATTAAACTTACTATGCAACTTTTTTTTTTTTTTTTTCCTTCTTTTTTTTCCCCGCTTGGGCATGGGTGTCGTCCAATAGTTAATAACTTAATATGCACAACGTGCAGCAGATGTAAATTTTAAAATTTTGCCATTTGTTGGTAGTACTTGGTGACAAGTTGGTATACTATATACTAATTCTGACCGGATTCAGGTGCTCGACGACTACGCACATTAAATGACCAGCCTTCCTTGCTTGGAGGAGGCACTGTCAGCAAATGAAAGCGATGAAGCTTCGGCAGGCTGAGAGTCAATGCGCAATGTCGTCGGAGAAGAAATCGCCACAGCAGACCTATTCTTTCGACAATGGGAAAGCTTCCAGCCGGACCAAGGACGATGACGGAACTCATGATTTGCAGACAAAGCCACAGGAAGTTAAAGAGAGCAAAGAGAGCAAGGAGAACAAGGAGAGCAAGGAGGGAAAAGAGAGCGAAGAGAGCAAAGAGAGGGAAGAGAGGAGAGAGAGCAAAGAGAGGAGGAGAGAGAGGAGTGAGAGAAGTGACGGGAGAGAGAGCAAAGAGAACATGCCACGATCTGTGAACGAGAGTAGAGCAGCATTGCAACGGGAGAGAGATGATTTGATCCAGGACAAAGAGGACCTCATCAGGTCGCTCATCAAAGCCAGGTAAGATAACGTACCCTCCCCTCCCCTCCCCCTCCCCTCCCCAAGGGGGTTTAGCCCCCAACGTCATTGTATCATTCGTATACGACAGGATTTGAAATTTGAACCCAGGGGGCTTAGCCCCAAGGTCTGCTCATTAACAGGTACATGTGTGTGTAACCCCCAGCCACAGCGCTGGGTGGGTCTAGATGCCTTTTTTGCGGCCTTCTTTTTTTTTCTTTTCGTTCATCTAAATCCATCCGGATTCGAACATCGGTCTGTGGGGCGAAACAGTTCATGGGTGTACCAACTGAGCTAGGCATGCCTTTTTTTTTCTTTTTTTTTTTTAATGCCTTAGTTTACTGTTGATTGGTTATTGGAGTACAAAATTACAACTAGTGATCATTGAGGTTTAGTAAAGTTTAAACTTCCTCTCCGAACCCCTGGCATGTTCAATATGTGTCTGTTGAGATATTGCTGCCTACCATCAGATCAAGCCTGCAACCATCATATCAATTTCCGAGTCATGATTTTCCACAACTGCTCCTCGCATATCATTTCCCAGTGTGCACAAGTGCAGAAACATTCAACACCATTCTTCTTCTTCTTCTTCTTATTTCATCCTCTTCTTCTTCTTGTTCTTGTTCTTGTTCTTGTTCTTCTTCTTATTTCATCCTCTTCTTGTTCTTGTTCTTGTTCTTGTTCTTCTTCTTCTTCTTCTTCTTCTTTCCCCTCCTCATTAGCTGTACTTTGTCTATCTTGTCCAGAGTCACTGTGTTGGTCACTGCTTGCTTCTAAAGAAGAAGAAGAAGAAGAAGAAGAAGAAGAAGAAGAAGAAGAAGAAGAAGAAGAAGAAGAAGAAGAAGAAGAAGGGACGTAAGAAGAAGAAGAAGAAGAAGAAGAAGAAGGGACGTAAGAAGAAGAAGAAGAAGAAGAAGAAGAAGAAGAAGGGATGTAAGTAGAAGTAGAAGAAGAAGAAGAAGAAGAAGAAGAAGAAGAAGGGATGTAAGNAATGTAAGTAGAAGAAGAAGAAGAAGAAGAAGAAGAAGAAGAAGGGATGTAAGTAGAAGTAGAAGAAGAAGAAGAAGAAGAAGAAGAAGAAGAAGAAGAAGAAGAAGAAGGAATGTAAGTAGAAGAGAAGAAGAAGAAGAAGAAGAAGAAGAAGAAGAAGAAGAAGAAGGGTAGGGGCTGTATACTCACAGGCCAGCTTCTCATACACCGCTGTCGCCTCAAATCACCACTGCCCTTTTCCTGTGGCTGCCAAAGTACCTGGGTCCCTGGTACCTGGGCAAACGAATCGGAATGTAGTTAGGCTGTCATGTACCTTGAAAAGTTTGGGCCCCCGGTATACCAATACATCTATAGCGAGGGCTGTCAGGCAGTGGCACTGTCATATTCTTCTTCTTTTCATTCTCTTGTGGACCCTTGCGGTATATGCCCACGTATTCTGAACCCTTCAGGGTATATGCCCACGTACTCTGAGCCCTTCAGTCAGGCTTCAAACATACTAGCTCGAGTATACGCCACCATTTCTATCCTGCCGGTGTGGCAATTTTGCATACTGCCCTTCCTACTCTGATGGCTCTCCGGTACGTCCTGGCGCCGATCTGCGCTTCTCCCTCTTGGGGTGGTTCTCTCTTGGGTGTCCCTTCAGTTGTCCTATCCCGCTTTGCGCGCAGCAGGTTGCCAGTTCAATTCCTGTAATGAGCGATTCCAATTCAGAGAGAAGAGTGGATTGGTGCTAGGACAGCAACAATGAAACAAGTTCATCGTTTGTTACAAAACAAGAGGAACAGCCCAAGAAAAGATGAGTGATTCCACTGAACAAGAGCAGCAAGGGTCTCTCCTCTTGTTCGTAGGGTGCACCGCAGCTGCGCGGCACCTGGCAGCCTCCTTACGTCTCGTTGCCATTTGGCAGAGTCCGGCGTTTTGAAATAAACGGCGGCTACCTGTGTGATTAATACTGATTATAGAGCCCCTTCTTGGGCCTTCTACCTAAATCTACCAAAAGATAAGAATGATAACTTCTAGCGTGGGTGTGTTTGTGTGTGTGTGTGTGTGTGTGTGGCGTGTGTGCATGTGTGTGTGTGTGTGGCCTTCTAGCGTGGGTGTGTTTGTGTGTGTGTGTGTGTGTGTGTGTGTGTGTGTGTGTGTGTGTGT